GGAATATGAGTTAAAGATTTCACAATGTGGAAAACAGGTTGGACAGATGAATATAAAATAATGCATCTAGAAATTGCCATCAATGCCCCGCTTCGTCAGCTGCTGATGAACAAAAACTTACTGGAAGACAATTATGCTAAATGGATTTCCAAAGTTAAAAGGATCTCTGGTCGTCTTGACAACTCACCATCTTATCGGCCTCGCGACTCTTCAGGAAGCAAGACGTGGTATGTGGCCCATAACGGATCGAACCTGCAAGTACTATCTCAAACGCCAACATCGAACCAACAACCGGTGTGTGTGTTTTTATTGTACTACTTGAGTCTATGACTATTTAGTACATTGGGCTCCTCCCTGGCCCAGGCCACACTTTGCACAGTGCTCCTTGCCTCTCATGTCTCGTGAAAGATCATTGATATATTGCCCTTGATGAATAGCTATTCAGCTCAGTGTTTACCCGTGGAATTCGGCCACCTTTTCCACGGAACCTTCTAACCCAAAAAAATAAAAATGGTAGCAATGGAAACTGCGTGTGCGTGTCACGGTTTCACAACAAAATGCATGAGCGATCTTGTAGGTACAATATTTTAATTATAATTCTCTGAAGAGAGAATTCCTGTACTTAATGACTACTTATATATACAGTCTGAAATATCCCTCCTCGATTAGGTTCTCTCTGTTACTTGACAGCTTAGACCCCAATAATCACCTAGGAGATCCTTGATACTCATGTAACCCTCACGAACTCTCAGTATGTTTCAACAAAGTTCAATGTGAATCATCCCAGTTCCCTGTCATCCAAGATCTTTCGAGGAACCTCCCTTCGTATAATTGCCTGCGCTAGACAGCGTAGGCTATAGGAACCCTTAGGCTTGACAGCCGTTACAGCGCGGGAAAAAGTCTCAAAAAACCTGCAGCCCCAGCCAGGCAAAGCCTAGACACCGGGACCACATGAGGTGTGCATACTCGTCTATATCTCCCTTCTTTGTAACAGTCGAGGTCGACTTGATCCAATCCACCATCTCCATATCGGGTGCTGGGTACGCTCCGGAAACTCATCGGATGGCATCTCCTCCATGATCATGGGTGAGTGATGAGTAGGGCTCCGACCCTACCATCTGATCTGATCGTGGTTAGCTTCATGATAATGGTGATAGGGGAATATGTTGAGAGATGAAGACGATACAGAAGGTGAAAGCGATTGGGAATCCTCGTCGAAGTGAGGATTTTTTTACTCAATCCCGGCTCTGCAGACTCTACAGTGAGAGCTGGAGGTTCGTGAGGGACACCACTGACAGGTGTTAAGAATAGTCCCCCTAAAGACAATGGTGTTTCAGTCTCTACTCGCAGTACACTTACTTTACCTCTGTTAGTAAATCGTATTTTCAATCGACTGACTTCATAGGGTATACTTTCTCATATTCATTTTTTCAAAGAAACGATCACATTATTTGTTAACTTGTTGGCAATCATTAAGAATCTAAGTCGAGGTTTTAGAAATTTTCAATACTACTAATATTCCAATTCTCTATCAAATGTATTGCACGATATCTATTCTCAAAGTTTGGACTAGAATATCTCATAGAAATTGCTCTTGACTAAGTATCCTTAGCTATTCTATTACGAGCTTCAGATTTCCTTGCGCCAGGACCCAGGATAGAAGGCTAGGAAAGTAAAGGGAAACATTAGATATATATTGGCTTACTGCTACTATGACATCCGCAAGATGTAGTATACGCCGTCTACGAGATCTGCAAGCGAGATTCGAGCTCACGATGGAGGTTGTGAAGTTAGTTTGCGTGGGTAAATCTAATATTGAACGTAGGAGCAAGATACCTTGGAGGATTATGATCAGATGAGGATAATACAAATTTCCAAACTGAAAATCCGCGAATTCATCTCTTCCACTTCCTGTAGTTAGAACAATCCATAAATGTAGTCTCTGACCTATGCTACAATGTGACAGAAACCGAGTTGGTGATGAACAAATCGATTTACTAAACTATGTGAGGAGAGAAGAGAACTCTGGCTACAACTAACAGATACTTATAATGACTGATCCGCTTCGTGTATCTACAAACTGATGGCTTTTCTCCAGACATCATATTCGCTAACTAGCCACGTATTGTTAGGTGTTACTTAGTTGCAACAGCGATCTGGCGTCCTGATTGATATTATCGTTTCGTATAGTTCCATCTTTTCCTCCCCATGCAACCTTATTGCAAATAATCTAAGTATTACGCTTAGGTATCCATCTAAGCTCATACAAAGGTGTGCAAGACTGAACACCTGTACGCGGTGCCCCCTACGAATCTGGGAGTGAAATATTCTACCAGAGCCAAGTTCAGTCAAATTTCGCAATTCCGAAGAAGTTGGCCCGCGAGGCAATAATTCAAAATACCTTAACATACAAATTTTTCACTCACAAAGACATCAAATCCTACCTAAGCCTCATCAAGTCCACAAGTACGACTTAGTACGTCCTCGTTTCAATGACTAGACCTCTCATCGACTATTCTCTGGCCTCAGCTGGTCACCAAATACACGCCCACGCCGATATTTATACCCGACGGAGGAAGGAAAGCGTGGCGCACAAATCTGGGAGACAGTTCTTTGGGATGGACGTGAGAGGGATCAAGAAAATTTTACAAGATGATGCAGAAGAGGGATATAACCTCGAAGGGCATGAGATTCCGAACTTTGGCAAGGATTTTTTACAAATTGATCTTTGTGGAGGCCAAGACTTCGCTTGCGAGAGTGTAGCTGACACTATATAAATAAGTCAACGATGGAAGGTGCCGCGGTCTGCCTCTTGGTGGTGTTCTCCGGTATAGTCTGAGTAGCCTGGGCACCAACTCCACTTGGGAAGGAGACATCTCAGACCACATTTCGCGCGAGGAAAAATCAGTGGATGAGGAGGCATTTCTGGATAACTCAGGGTTTTTGAGACGTTCCCCTGAGTGGGTATTTACGAATGAGGGCTGACTTGTGGTGAAGAAAAAGCCACCACAACTTCGCAGTGGTACTTGCAAATGGAATCCGAGGCATAAGTGCTCTTCTTGCAAATTGAATCATCTTTTCTGTACATTCTTTCAGATATTGCGTCGAATCTAGAAAGCTGCATACGCAATTAAAACCTGATGCCAAAAAAAGACTGGGGCTGTTTGTGCGATCCCTGGAGTGACGCTGTGTCAATTCACCGATTATCAGACCGAAGTCCACGTGGCCACTAAAAATATCGGGGTGTCAGAACATGTCAAGGCTATACTATTGATTATGAGGTTAAGGCTCGGCGAGTATTAGCGAATTCTGTGCTGATATATCCACTTTCTTAAACTTTTTATTTCAATTTATTTTGATCGGGTTCATGCCAAATGCAGGATGAAAAATATATAAAAATACTAAATTCATACCTGGTGGTGCTCTTTATTAGAGAAGTCTTGTTATAAACCTACTTGTGGACGAGTATTACTAAGCTTAAAAGCCGCAGAGGCTGAGTAGCTACCGACGAAAACGAAGTATCGAAGGATACAGAAGTTATACGATGTAAAAGATTTACTAAGACTAGGGAGCAAATCCAAGTATCCCGAGAGACCAAATTTTCATCGCTTTGGCTCAGCTCTGACTGAATTATGAAAAGAGCCCGTCCACCACTACATCTAGATTCTCTCCGACAAATTCAAAACACATGTCTGTACAAATATTGGGCCGCAAAGACTAGTTAGTGAAGGAGAATAGTAAGTGGCCGAGTTGGAAGTCTACAAATAAGATGACAGTAACTTGTTAGGGCAAAATAAATATTTTTGTTCCCTTGACCCGAGTGGCTGGATTGGCTACGCCTCAATACTTTAGTTCAGACTAGCGTGGCTGTAGTCAAAAAGGTGAGATGGCTTATAAACTTTTAGGTGGGCAAAAGAATTGAGTACTGCCCCTTTCGGGTTAAAACTTTTTAGGAGATGGGATATTTCTAGTTAGCTAGAACATGTCATCACAGGGGGACTATTCTCAACACCTGTTAGTGGTGTCCCCTACGAACCTCCAGATCTTACTGTAGAGTCTACAGAGCCGAGATTGAGTGACAAAGTCCTCACTTCGATGGGGATTCCCAATCGCTTTCGCCGTCTGTATCGTCTTCATCCCTGAGCAAAATCCCTCATCACCACTTTCATGAAGCTAACCACGATCAGATCGGATGGTAGGGTCGGAGCCCTACTCATCACCAACCATTGATCATGGAGGAGAATCCATCCGATGAGTATGCGCACCTCATGTGGTCCCGGTGTCTAGGCCTCGCCTGGCTGGGGCTGCAGGTTTTTTGAGACTTTTTCCCCGCACGCAGTTTCCATTGCTACCATTTTATTATTTTTGGGTAGAAGGTTCCGTGGAAAAGGTAGCTGAATTCCACGGGTAAACACTGAGCTGAATGGCTATTCATCAAGGGGAATATATCAATGATCTTTCAAGTAAAAAAAGAGGATACAAGCACTGTACAAGGTGTAGCCTGGGTCAGAGAGGAGCCAAATGTGCTGGATAGTCATAGACTCAAGTAGCACAATAAACACACACACATGTCATTACAAGAATAGCTGCTAATATAATTTCAATTCTTAGTCTATCCGACGTCAAGGCGATTATGGCACGTGACTTATAGCGTGTGGAAACAGTGATCTTGTGCTGAAAATGTCACCTTTAATAGGTATAATAACATTTGTTGCTCACTAATTTCATTTACCTCGAGCGGGTGTATGTAGAAATTAGCTTTATTTTAGGATGCCGAACAGCATGTACCACAGCCAGGTCAGACTATGCTCTCTCCGTTTGTCCATTATTGTCGACAATGAGCTCTTCAAATATTAGCACTCAATCATAATTACCTAAGATCCCGCCGTCTAAAATGACAGCCAATCTCTATAAAATTCTCAAATCTATCTTCAAATGAGAATCCGAAATTCTAACTTGGGGATGGGTAAAAACTTACACCATGAATCTTAACTACCACTTCACCGCCGCGTAGCGACAAAAGACTTACCCATCTTAACCATCATCCTTCTTTTGCTCTCATCCAAGACGAGGAGGCGCCGCATCTTCAGAACCATTTCTAGAGTTCCAATTACCTTCCGAAAGCTACTCCCAGCTCCTTGTTCCTGGGTCCATCGAGCAATACTTAGAGGGTGTCTTTTACCATGCTCAATCACTGTCATAAACTCTACAGCAAACTGAACTTCTTTCATATTAAGAACTTAATACTTAGCATTAGTTTATAGTTTCATATGATCCTCAGACTTACAATTAATGGCGCCAACCCTACCAAAAATAATGCTTCGCTTTCTGTCAATTTCAACATCTTGCATACCGAAACGCTTCCATCCTAGCAAAATTTCCGCAGTCTCTTGCCAAGCCCGTTTTTTACTGACACAGAAGCATATGAACTTGGCACGAGGCTTGATTCGGAAAAGCTTCGCCAGCCAGTTTCGCTGCGGTGCGATCTCACGTGTGTCGTCTGCTTTACTGTGATCTATTATTGTATAATCACAGAAGTCTTCACTTGAGCTGACTATAGAATCTCGAAGTTTTAACTCATTTTTAAAATTTTCATGTGGTAATTCTGCAAATTTATAAGCTTTGAAACGAGGACTTCAACCTTATTCTTGTTTTACCTAAATTTATGTTCAACTTCTCACTGTGATTTTTGAAGAGTTTTGCTAGATTTAAGCCAATTATTTTCCTACTTTCTACTTCTAGTTGTGTTGGTGAGAGTGCTAGTTTTATGTTAGTTAGGATTTTAACAAGTATATCTCCCTGTCATAAATACCTCTCAATTTTAAAGGTTCTCCACCAGGCATGACTGCACGAATTCTCCCTTCATCATTCCTCCTCCACCATTCAAACCTTTTCGTAACTTCTCTACCTGTATTTTTAGAAAAGAGGTCACTATTATTAATAGTCCTATCGAGGTTTTCATGAAAAAATAAATTAGACAAATCAGGGCTTGCAAAACCTGGTTTAAGACATCCGTCATTAATTTTGGGCAATATTTTACCTCTAATGCCCTTTTCAGTCGAGTCAACTATTATTGATCGTTTTTTTTGAATAATCAAAGGCTCTGGGACCTGGACATTTACGTCAAGTGGCGGCGGGTATCTGACACCTACTTTATGATCTCGCACCTGAGCTTCCTGTTAGATTTTTAATATTCTGCTAGATAATAAGAGTGAGGATTTGATACAATTTGTTTTAGGCCTGCTCCACTTCTACCATCTTGATGACTTGTCAGAGTTTTATCACTAAACCTTTGTCGTTTAGGTGTCTTATTATACCTATACTCAAATATAGAAGGTAGTTGATCAATTTGAGTATGGTTGCTCGGAGCAAATGGTGCATAAACCATCAAGCTTTCATCATTTGGATAACCTGGGGTTAAAGGCTGTATAAGTTGATCAATATGACTTAGTAGTTGATCAAAATGCGTGGTTGATCCGTTCGCTAGATCCCTTTTAGTGCTGGCTTTCGTAGACTCGCCCATAAGCAGCGGTCTAAACCCATCTCGATCTTGTTGATGTGGAATTTTTGGCGGGAAATTAGTGAAAACTTTAGAGAATTAATTAGCTGATGATGCAAGGATTTTAAAATTTGCACTGGTTCCATCTTTCTGGGCTATGGGACTATTCCAATGGGTTAAATTATCCTGGCAGTCTATAGCTACACTTTTGTAGTATAGAGTAATGCTTTGACTTGAATATTTCTCAGATTGTTCGTCATCAGCCAGAGGCTTCTTGAAATTAATATGATGACTTAACCTAGATCTCTTATACCCTGGTAAAAGAATAGGCTCACCATTATTAGTTCTAAAAAAATTTGTCCGCCGTCTATAGCTCCTAGCTGCCAGTGAATTTAAAGAAGTTGATTCAAGATCGCTACGAGACACTCTTTTCCAGCGTCCGTAACCTACTTTTAGGCGTCTCGTAACTGGAGCTGGAATCCCATCAGTGAAATTTTGACTCATTGTAGAGCAAGACAACGAGCTTCGTGTAGCATAAGCTCTAGATGGTACCGGCTGTTGATAGCCCGTACTAGCTGCGGTATTTGTTGATTTGCAGATAGAATACCCTTTGATTTTTGCGTTGGTTCCACTAGAAAAGTTAGTTATTTTCTCATCTTTTTTTAAACAATCTAATCTGGAAATATAGATAGAATTTAGAGGGATAGATGTCTTTCTACTTTGACTCCCATTACTTATTACCGTAAACCTTGAGATCCGCCTTCCAAAACTATTATTATTTATTTTCTTATGATGTTCCCGAATAGAAAGGGATTTAGTTAACTTGAAAGGCTTGACATAACGATTCTCAAATCCATGAGATATTTTATCAGGAGAGTAGTTCTCCAATTGAGAATCTCGATATTTCATCAAGAGGACATAAAAACGCTTTTGGTCATTCGGCCTGGCTCATGTTAGCCAAGCCCTTTTTTTATTACTAGGCAGAAATACTAACTCACTACTAAGAAGTGCTGCCATCAGTTTTTTTTCTGAAAATAAATGCCACATTGATCTCAAATGACGAAAAATAATGGGATTAATCTCGCTTTTCTGAGGTAATAACCGTCCATATTCCTTAGAGTTGAAATCTGTGGGATACAATTTTGATCCAAGGTTGTCTAAATAGTTATACTTGATAAGTAGGGGATGTCTCCAAATTCGGCTTATCGTGATTCTATCTTTTGGGGCAGCTTGCAACATCTTTCGTATGAGGCTTTTCGCTTCAGGGCTAAACTCATCCAACATTTCATATTCTGCTTTTTTGATCTTATTCAATAGTGGAGTGAGCCAATTCTTCGATACCCCTGCCACATCGAAAGGTAATTGTCCTGAAAGCGTAGCATAAAGAATTACCCCCATGCTCCATATATCCACCGCATTCCCACGATATCTAGAACCACTGATCAACTCTGGCGCAGCATAATGAGGACTTCCACATGAGGTCGTAAGCTGATGATTGGGAGTTTGATGCAAGGCAGCCATTCCAAAATCTGCGATCTTAATTTCTCCATTACTTGTAAGTAATATGTTCTCAGGTTTTAGATCACGATGACAAATATTAAACGAATGACAATATTCTAAAGCGCTGAGAATTTGCCTAAAGTATCTTATGGCTTCTTCTTCTCCAAGACCTCCTTTTAGGGCAATTTTTTCAAAAAGCTCTCCATTATCAACGTACTCAAGGCACAAATAGCTATAAGACAATAAATTTACTGTCAGGAGATTCGAAAGAAAATAGAGACCTACATTTCTGTTTTATTTTCCCAAATATCATACAGTTTCATGACATTGGGATGCTGTATCAGCTTCAAGATAGCTACCTCCCTTTCTATTCCTATTGGCATCTGATTTGTTCTCTCTTTTTTTTCGCCCAAATCTGAATGTAGTCGATCAAAACTTGCAAGACTTCCGGACTGCAACATCCGCGCACTCGATTTCTGGACAATTTTCACAGCTGCTTGCTGGCCGGTCAATTCATGATGTGCTAGTCTAACGCGTGCAGTGGATCCCCTTCCTAGTGTCTTTCCAAGTTTCCATGGTCCTATCTGTGATTTTCTTTCATCTCTAGATTTCGAAACTTCTGAGGTTGCGGGAAAAATAGAGTCCCGAGCTCCTCTAGGATTTTCATACGTTTGAGTCTTAGTAATATCCCGTGAATCTGTTTTATGCTTTTCTAGAGATGATACTCGATATCCTTGGTCATAGAAGCTATTTTGAGGTTTCATCGAATGTTATAACTGATTGGTTACAAGTTTATCGTGCCTTTTAATTTGTGGCAGATGTATGTCAGATACCTGTGACAAGATGCGCAAATTTCAACACGTCTAGCAGTATTTCTAGGTGTCTGACAAATAAAAGATAATTAATCGCTATTGATGCTCATCCAAAGTTTATACTAGAAGAATATCCATCCAAGAAGACACTTATCACTCGTGACTTCTTGTAGTCGGTTCTAGGATAAATTTTATAAAATTAATTGCCCTAAAGCTTGCCGTCAGGTAGTTCATATGCAAGTAAATAAAATTTGATACACACTGGCAAACAAGTGACAATTTGTATAGTGGAATTCATTCAAAACGAGAGGATTCTGCAAGGTTATAGTTGAATATGAATGACAAACTAACGAGTGATGAGTGTAAGGTGAAGGTAATTATGTTTTCCTAGAGTAGTAATCTATTTCTAGGAGGTCTTATTTTGTACAACATGAAAATTACCTGACTACTATACACATTCTTCGTACGCGTCTCTGGTGATGTGAAAGCGCTTAAAAACAAACAGCCGATTTGTGCCTAAATGACAAAACTTTCAAAAACAATGATAATGCCGACTCACGGTCCTTATTTTTCACAAGAATCCATTAAATTTTATCTAAAAAAAATCATATTTTGGCTAAAATAGAACTAATCGTGACACATCTGACCTCGTTTGGCCAAAATATCTCACACTGAACTATTTGACGAATAAGATAGTTAATCAAAGCCAGGAAAGAGATCTAATATGGTATCCGGATTTTCAAACGCAAAATCCTCGATTTTCACTCTCTTTTAAATTTAACTTTTCAAAATCATGAGCTAGCAGAGAATAAAGGAGTCGAAGGAGCCCTTGATCTATCTTATTAAAAGTTTTAATAAATAGATGTAATGATACTTGTCTCCGGATAATTAATTCAAGAAAACATGAATTCTTATCCACTCAATTCAGAATATCAATGATCATTCAAGTAACAAAAGAGGATAGGAGCACTGTACGAGGTGTAGCCTAGGCCAGATAGGAGCTCAATGTACTAGATAGTCTATGGCTCAAATGCTACAATAAAAAAATCACTAACTTACTTATCCACCCAATTAATACTTTAGACTTTCTTTAACAGTCATATACTCAAATAGGATGTGAATTTAAAAAATACTTTAGACATCTCGGTAGCATTAAACTCCAAGATCCCTACCACTAACGTAGAGAAAATGTACCTGCAACTAACAACTCGACTGCATCATACATTTTTGAACCTACCTACATAAAATAGTGCAATTTTGCGTATACCCTAGAATTATAATCCAACGAATATATAAATATCTAGAATATTAAGGAAATAATGAGCCCCCCCAGTCATTGAGGCCGTGGAGCGCATTATTTATTCATTTTATTGTCCTGTCTGAGTCAATGACTATGTAGGTGTCAGGTATCTGGGTGTCTGACCTGTGGCAGACGATGTGTATTTGAGATTGAAGAAAAAGATAACTCAGCAAAAGCAACTTGATTCTATTTTCCCGGAACTACAGATCTATATATACAAATGAATATGATCATAAGGAAAATAAAAGACTTGACTATCCAACTAATTTTAGGTCATCCTAATTGAATGATGTCGAGTTAAAAATGTAATTTGCCTAAAATAGCTTTGTAAGATTGCGAGGCTGAGTATACCTAAACTTAGCCCTTACTCGCAACAATAGATACGAGTAACACCCCTTCGGCATGATGGGAAGCTAGTGTCAGACCAGATAGAGCGAGCGACGATTCTGCGCGATCTACTACTGGACCGTCACTCGGAAACAGACGATCTTCCACCTTGCACAAGGCCAGCAGAGCCTCGGATTCCATGGTCTGAGGAGCTATTGTTAAAGTTATGAGCTTGAGCGAAGATGAAGGCTGTAGCGGAATCAGTGTCGGCGGTTAGACCGATGCAGTAAGTCTCGTATGAGTTTGTGAGAGGAAGACCCGAGTGGAAACCATTGTATTTAGATGTATGGTTCAGAGTAAAACCGAGATGATAAGAGTGAGATTGCGTGTTCGCATATCTTATCAACTGTGGTTTTTGACCAGTATTTATCAATCTCCATGGATCGTAAGTTATGATCCATGTAAATGTAGATCTATGTACATACACATATATGGGTCAGGAATATAAAGCTAAATACATGTGTATCGGTAATAGATACGAGAAAACTATAACCTGCATTTAAGACATAGTTATCCGCTGGAATTCTAGTGTGAAATAAACGCTAATGGGCATTAAACTTTCGGTGAAGGATGTATTGATAACAGTGATATAGAATGGGGAATTTGATGGTCAAATTAGCCGGACTTACTAATAAGTTATTCTCGGCATTCCAAGATATATCATATTTCAACAGCTATCAGAGCTGGAAGCTCAGTCATGTACTATTGAAGGAGGTAATACCTGTCCTGGTGCAGACGGAACCTCAGAAGAATTGCTAGCCGCATGCTGGAGCAGTATTGGGAGATATATAACACAACTCTTTCAAGCATGCCTGAGACTTGGTTACCATCAGGCATGTTTCAAGCTGGCGGAAGTCATATTCCTACCGAAGAGCGGTCGTGATTTATCAACGGCCAAGGGATGGAGACCAATTGCACTTCTCTCATGCCTAGGCAAGGGGCTAGAAAGAATCTTTGCGAAAAGGATGTCAGCAATAGCCATCACTTTAGACGTTGTAGGCCACCAACAGTTTGGCGCACTACCAAAACGATCGGCAAATGATCTGGTATCTTCAGTAGTGCGCGATGTCGAGGAGGCTCGATCTCAAGGATGGGCATCCACCTTTATAACAATAGAAGTACAAGGAGCATTCGACGCTGTCCTACATAAACGGCTACTATGGCGAATTCAGGCACAAGGCTGGCCAGACTCGGTACTACGATGGACATCCTCCTTTCTCAAAGGGAGGAGGGTACAGGTACGATATCCGGGAGGCGTGACCAGCCCGACATCTTTGAGGCTAGGGGTGCCACAGGGATCGCCGATCTCTCCGTTGCTCTTCCTTTTATACATGGCCGAGCCCATGCGAAACGGGAACTGCAGAGCACGATTTAGCTATGCGGACGACATTGGGATTCTCGGCATCGGTCGCTCGTTAGCCGAGTCTGCAATAGCGGCACAAGATGAGGTCGACAATCTTCTGAAATGGGCTGAAGAGAACGCGGTTTCGTTCGACCTCGACAAGTCTGAGGTGATCCAATTCAAAGGGAGAAATCAGGGCGAATCGGTAGGAATACAAGTTGGCGGTAGGCTAGTCCAGCCGGCGGAGCATATTCGCTGGCTTGGAATTCACCTTGATCCGCGTCTCACCTTCAAGCACCATGTAGCGACCTGGTGCGGGAAGGCCCTCAAAGCTACCCAGCACATGCGGCGAATTAACCCACTTCGACGAGGAGTGGCGCCAGGTCCTCTGGTTACCGCCATCGACTCATGCATCGTACCAGTAGCAACATTTGGAGCGGATGTGTGGTGACCCGGACTAACACGGCCAACGAAGAAAGGTACCTCAACGCCACAGACTACACACCTATGTAGTCTGATCGAAAAAACCATTTGACTAGCCCTACGTGCCGCGTTACCAGTCTGGAAGACCTCGCCTAATGTCCTTCTTCATAGGGAAGGGGGCATCCCACCGGCGAAGATTCTCCTCGAAGGAATTCGACTCCGTCTAGCAGCCAGGATCCAGTCGCTCGATGACCGGCACCCTCTCCGGAACCACGCAAGCGAGTTCCCTAACGTTGGCTCGCAGAAGTACAAGCGTAGGAAGAGAGTTAGGCGCCAATCAGAAACCCAGATGTCTCGCTTACAGCGTGCTTTTCGATAGCTCCCGGAGTCATCCGAAGAGGCTGAAGAGCTGGCAGGCCCAGTGTACACATCTAGTCTTGGAACGAAAGAAGAGGGAGTCAAAGCACACTAAAACTGGGCTAGCACGATCTCTCCCTCTGACATATGCGCCTACTCTGATGGGTCATCTGAAGGCCACGGACGATCCTCGTGGGGATATGTCTTCCATCGCGGAGGACAAACATTCGCAAAAGGTCACGGTCGTCTACATGGCGGTGAAGTTTATGATGCAGAAATTGCAGGAGCAGCACTTCGGGAAGCTATGCGCGCTCGAAAGAACCGTGAGAGAATCTTCGTTCTTCTTGACAATCAGGCAGCTGTACTTGCGCTTCGGACGGGAAGTCATCATCGTCGCTGCAGATAACCCGCGTCTTTCACAAGATCGCTTCAGAAGCGAACGTGACAGTGAGGTGGGTGCCTGGACACTCTAATATTAGTGGCAACGAAGAAGCGGACGTAGAAGACCGAGCCGGTCTTCAGCTGCCGCCAGATAGACAGACGCAGCCAGTGCAGACAACGCAGGCATACATACGCCGTTTGATGCATAATCGCCGACAGAAACTAGTGGAAGACTGGTGGAATAAGTCGGGTCCGGACAGATATCGAGACCTGGACTTACAGATGCGACGTCGGAAACCACCAGAACTAGGTCTTTCTCGACAATTACTCCATAAGCTCTTGGCAGCAAGATCAGGACATGGAGACTTTGCGGATTATCACCGCCGCCTGAACCACGAAGACGCGAAGCTGGAATGCTTCGGTAGACAAAGGACAACGCCAACTCATTTTGTCCGATGCAGGAAGAATGCTGCTATAATGCGCAGGTTGAGAAGATCCATGACCGTGGAGGACTTTACCAACCAACTCCTTGGACCAGAGGGTCTCGAGAAGTTCATAGAATTTGCAAGGAATACCGGCTGCTTTGGGAGCATGGATGCAGACCCGCCCTCAGCTTGATACGAGGGCCGGAGTGATTATTTTGTCAGGACGAGAGAAATGACTGATGGGGGTAAAGGATGAGAAATACTAGCACCGCTCCTATATGTTAATTTTCTTTGTTTCAATTTGCTTTGTTTCAGTTGGTTTTGTTTGCTATTTCTTTTGGTTTTTGGTTGTTTGTAATCAGAGTCACATAGTGACAGTGTGGTGGGAACGAGTAGGGCATAGCTATTTAGGATAATCTTTACCGAGCCCACCAGTCCCGTGCCATAAGGCGCTGGGCTGGTGCCTGGGACCTCAAAATAAATCAATCAATACATACGAGTAAGCTTTCGTGTGATTCTCATCAACCAGTCTATGTTTAGCAATCTTGGCTATTACCTCGTCTTCCAATCTATTCTAATATTTATGCGCATAACGAATAACTTATTCGACAGTAGGACATGCAGGTCCTCTCTGCCTACAGGCCAAGGATACCTATAGCTGTAGCATCTACCCTCCTATGCCTCCCATACAGCTCCCCTAAAACAGTACCACCCATCACAAGTCCTCATTCGATCATACACTTAGAGGAGCCCTTTGCCCTTCATCATCTCCCATCTCCAGCCAACGAAATGATGGCCATTTGCTGGTGTATGGCAGCCGGGAAAAATCGCAAAAACCACTGGGTGCGGAGCTCTTCTAATACCGATATTAGGAATAAATCCGAAGAAATATTGCCCCTTCTGAAGCGTTCGAAGAGGCCGGCCAGCTGGGCGCTGCAGACTTGTGGGTACCTCGGAGAATTCACACTCTGCCTTTCTAGCCTCCTTCCAACTCCTTCCCGAAGGTCGTGGTGAAATGTCAGAAAAGTCTTGACAGAGCGTGTTTGCTGTACGGTAGCTTAGCCCAACTTCTTTTGTGCCGTCCATGGCGCTGGGGAGTGCCGTTGACTCATCGACAAAAGAAGCCCTCCTGGCTAATTAGCCGAAATCTTGGTCTTGGTGTCAACCAATTTCCTAAAGTCGAAAAAACCCCGAAAATATCAGACCCGTGAGTGAGTGAGTGTGTTATTGTACTACTTGAGTCTATGACTATCTAGCACATTGGGCTCCTCTCTGACCCAGGCCACACCTCGTACAGTGCTCCTTGCCTCTTTTGTTACTTGAAAGATCATTGATATATTCCCCTTGATGAATAGCCATTCAGATCAGTGTTTACCCGTGGAATTCAGCCACCTTTCCCACGGAACCTTCTACCCAAAAATAATAAAATGGTAGCAATGGAAACTGCGTGCGGGGAAAAAGTCTCAAAAAAACCTGCAGACTCAGTCAGGCGAGGCCCAGACACCGGGACCACATGAGGTGCGCATACTCGTCTATATCTCCCTTCTTTGCAACAGTCGAGGCCGACTTGATTCCATCCACCATCTTGTTGGAAATATCGCGCAATGAAATGGGCGCAATATTCATGGAACGAAAGTAGAAGTTGACTAAAAGAGTGTCATGTTCGGGTTAAAGCTAGAAGAGTGGAAAGTGTGCGCTACAAGTACAGGTGTAAGCGACATATAGCCTAAGCCACAGCATAAACGAGTGTGGCGCCATCTAGACATAGAAAACCTCCAATAACCTCCTTGAGCCCACGCCATACAGCCGCTCATATCTCCAATAGGTAGCCTGAAGTGCGACCACACTATCCATTCCAACCTCTTAAATACACACAAGATCGTGTCGGGAACCTAGACAAAATGGAGGGTCTGTACGTCCACAACACTATATGTCTCCAATTCCAACACTAATGAAGGGCAAAGGGCTTCTCTAAGTGTATGATCTAATGAGGATCCGGGAGGGGTGATACTGTTTGAGGCGAGCTATGTGGGAGGCGAAGGGGGGGATATATCACTCGATAGATACCTTTGACCTGTAGCCGGAGAGGACCATCATGTCCTGTATTGTTATAGACTGAGACAACAACCCCATATCCGTAACGACTTTTGGATGCTAGGCTAGGCTCCTTCACGACTGTCACTCTCGACCAAGACTTTTCTGACATCCTTTCACGACCTGCGATTTGTCCTGCGGCATGAATCATGGGAGGAGTAAGGAGGAGGCTAGGAAGGTTGAGAGACGCTCTTAGGTATAGACAGGTCTGCTACGCCCGGCTGGCCGGCCTCTTCGTCATAGGAGAGTCTTCCACCCAGTGGTTTACGAGGCATTTCCTTGCATCTACACACCCACAAACAGCCATTGTTTTGTTGACTAGAGACGGGAGACGGGAGATAACGACGGGATAACGGCTCCTCTTCGTGTGTACTCGAATGAAGACCTGTGGGGGTATTACTGCTGGACAGAAGTCGTGAAGGAGCCATAGGAGGAAGTACACTACCCGAGGCATAGATACTCCCGGCCTGTAGGCAGAAAGGACCTACATGTCCTTACATAGTTATAGACCCAACATGACAATTAATACTCACTCACTCATAGACTTAGCAGGACAATAAAGTCTCAATTATAATAACAAAGATTAACTAGTTTACGCTAAAGTTTCTTTCTGTCAACCTACCCTCTGTCACTAATTTTTGGAGATCACGTCAATTGGCCCAGAAACTAGAACATTATTCTTCGGGCTTACAAGCGGGGGTCCTTCCGGGGTAACATATGCTTTAGTCATCCCACCATCGACAATGAAATCCTGTGTATATAATTAGTGACTAAATGTCTATTCCATCCAACTCACTAACCTGTCCGTTAACAAAACTGGAGTCATCACTAGCTAAAAATAAAACAGCCTTTGCTTGTTCGATGGATTCACCAAAGCGACCAGAAGGAAAGTGAATTTCTCGCCGCATTCTCTTTTGCTGATCGTCTCCAAGCCAGTCCTGTAATAGAGGAGTATTTAGAGGAGCTGGGCACAGCGCATTGAATCGGAAACCTTCGCGAGCATGAACTATGGCCAGTTCCCGAGTCATAGCTAAAATTGCGCCTTTACTTGCAGTGTAGGCAAGCTGTGGCGTTGCCGAGCCCACAAGAGCCACGACGGAGGCAGTATTGATAATGGAGCCCTTGCACTTCTTATGTTTTCGCAAAGACAAAATTGCATGTTTGGAACCAAACCAAACACCCTTGACGTTGATAGCTTGTGTCAGATCCCAAATATTCTCTGGTGTATCAATGGCGTCGCTATCATCAGCGTGCATAATCCCAGCATTATTAAACATAATATCAACGCCGCCCCATGAGTCTACATGGTCAACAATAGCCTTGACATTAGCCTCTTTGGATACATCACAAATCTGTGATTTGTTAGCCTTCGTTTTAAAAAAACAGCAATCCGCCCACCTTTGTCTCAACTCGGATAGCAGAAGGCACCAACTCTGTGATCTTTGAATACGCCTTTTTTAGATTCGGCTCTGAAATATCAGCCATTAAGATATTTGCACCCTCCTTGGCAAATAAGATACATGTTTCAAGCCCTATGCCACTAGTAAAAAGTCAGGATAAATCAGGATCGGGGTAGGAAAGTTTGTAATTCAATTTTGCTACTGTAGTGCCATAAGGTGTCATACTCCTTCATTTAAATTGGGCTAAAAATCTCTTATTTTCAATGAACATCATAATATGAAGAGGATTGGACAGAATTGAACAGCGCGGGGTCGAGTAAATATGTGAGAATACTTACCCTGCTGCGCCCGTCACTATAGCATTTTTACCATGAAGTCTGCCAATGCCTAGAGCATTGATAGAGACGATATTCCCACGCTGATGGTTGGATATTTCGGTCATTTTAGCTATTATGCGGTTAAATTTCGGGAGAATGGCGCTGTACTTGTATTTCTCAACAACAACAATATCTGAAGCTCTCAGCGCTTGTTTTCTACAATATCGTCATGAGATCACATGACATGGCTCAGCAAATGAGGGGTTCAAGATCACCAGTGAGGACATCTACTCTGCTGAGATGTCCCACAGCAGCCTCCCCCCACTTGAACCTAAACTATCCCAGTCTACTAAGACTTTTTCCTTTGTAAACCATGTAAATATACATTCTCTACTAGATAAGACTAAAGTGACTCAGTGGAAGAGCTCGCTTCTCTGTAACATAATTGTAAAATAAGGCGCTAGATAGTATGTTCTAGGCTTTACAGGAAATGCTTGGCTCCCAAGAGCGCCAGAACGTCGGGTAGCTTTTTTCTAGGCTGAGCCAACCGGCACGTGACATCTCAAAGCACGTGCTGCGCGCATGCAGGACATTGAATAATATAAGTAAAAAAAGTGATGACTCCTAATGTAAGCTACACGAGGTCTCTACCGCAGCTATATAAGCACAAACAGTCTCTCTTGAATACAGAAAATAAGGAATTAGTAATGGCATAAGAATTATCCCGAAATGGAAAGGTTTAAGCGGACAGTCGTCTGGGGCGTTAATTGCAGATGCTTCTGAACACGTAGATCTCGCTCAATTTCGCTGAAGTTCCCAACACAAAGATTCTACATTGACTTAAGCTTCAGGTGAAAAAAAGGTCAGGATGATTTCTGCCAGGATAATAGGGAAAAAGGCCGTGCTACCCTTAATTGTGTACGGCAGCATTACCGGCCTGACATCCAATGGATACTTATAATGATCATGAGGAGATAGATTGCATACAATCAGTAGCGTAATTTTATGACGAGCTCCGCGCTATTGTAGAGAGGATAATGGCATGTTTACGATATCTTTGTGGTTTATGGTGCTCCTCTCTGATAGAGGCCACACCTTGTACAGTGCTCCTTGCCTCTTTTGTTACTTGAAAGATCTCTAATATGTTGCCTGTGATTGATGGCCGGTCAGCTCAGCATTTAACCATGGAATTTGGCCACCTTTTCCACGTAACCTTTTACCCAAAAAAATGGTTGCAATGGAAACTACGTGCACGGGAAAATGTCTCAAAGAACCTGCAGACCCAGTCAGGCGAGGCCTAGACACCGGGACCACATGAGGTGCGCATATTCATTTATATATCCCTTTTTTACAACATTGGAGGCCAGCTCTATCCGCTCCATCATCGCCGAATCAAGTTCTGGGTACGCTCCAAAAAGTCATCGGATGGATTCTCCTCCATGACCAGGAAGAGTGAGTGGGCTATGAGTAGTGCTTCGACCCTTCCATTTGATCTAATTATAGTTAGTTTCAAGATATTGGTGAGAGAGAGATGCACTGGGAGATGAAGATGACACTGATCGCGAAAGCAATTGGGAACTCTTATGGAAGTGAGGACGAGATTTTTACTTGAACTCGGCTCTGCAGAATCTACAATGTGAGCTGGAGTTTCCTAGGAAAACCCGTTCACACTTATTTAGTTTCATCCGTCAGCCGCGACTGTATTTATAGTGTCTTCTACACACTCACAATCGTTGCAAATAATTAATTATCTATCAATGTCCTATTTGAATTTACAGCTATGTATGATAGACTTCTCACAACCGTAGTCGTTCAGCGCACAATACTCTTCAAGACAACGGCAGGGTTGTAGCTCTAGGGCTAACTATACGATAAATGAAAAGAAATGTTAAAAATCATCACTCTAAGAAATAGAATCACCCTCCTTCGAAGATCTTTTCTATCCCAAGTATTACATTTCCTATTCTCTCATACTATCCCACCTAAATTCCAGAGAAATATCTGCGAAATCTGTGCCACATAATTTATTTTTCCCGTAGATATTCTTATTCTTATGGGCATATATGTGGAAGCCAGAGAATGAAACGGATACGGATGTGGTCCTTGAAGTAATGGTGTACCAGGTCGTAATTGCAGACATAATGAGCCTTATGAGGAAATCAGTCTCGTTGGCGGTATGAGTGAGTTTATTGTCCTATTGAGTCTATGACTATAAAAGGACATCTAGGTACTTTCTGCCTACAGGCGGGGAGTATCTATTCTTCTGGTTGAGTACTCCCTCTTATGCCTCTTTCACGACTTCTTTCCAGCAGTAATACCCCACAGGTCTTCATATGAGTACACACGAAGAGGACCCGTCATTCCGCCATTATCTCCCGTCTCCAGCGAACGAAACGATGGGCTAGTCGGCAGTGAAAGTGTAGCGAAAGAGCATGAAGGATTCATGGTGATGATGATGATGATGATTTTATCATGTCCCAGGCTCTAGCCCAGCGCCATGTGGCACGAGACCGCTAGACTCGGTAGGAATCACACCTGGAGGCGTGCTCTACTCGATTACACTACTTACACTCCTATCGAACATCACAAGAGTATTTAATTACAAAAAAACATAAAAATTAACATGATAAGAACCAGCCCAGTGTTCCTCACACTGGAGTCCCTCCATCACCACTTAATTACTGGCGTTCTAATAACTATGATCCTCGCATCCAGCTGAGGCTGTGTCTGCAGGCAGGATCCCGAAGCAGCCGGTTATCCTTGCAAGTTCCGTAAACTTTCCGACACTGTTGTGACCAAAAAGTTGATTCGTAAATAATTATACTGACATAGAATTTCTAAGACTGCGCATCTAGCTGGCTTGCCTTTGGCAACGGATAAAGTGGGTTGGTGTTGTGTCCAACCCACAAAAACATTCTGATGTGGCGTTCTCATGATGAAATCGACGGTGGTATGCTGCAAATTTTCGTGCCCGGCTTGAGCATCAATAAGCTCATGAAGTAGGCGTCGAGAAAGTCCTAGTTCAGGTGGTTTACGACGACGTATTTCTAGGTCCAGATCGCGGTAGCGGGCTGGACATGATGTTGACCACCAGACATCAATCAGCTGTTGTTGACGCTTGAACATCAATCGACGCAATTTTGCCTGCGTGATGTATCCGGGCAGGAAGTTTCAAGGGTGCTGAGCATGCTGCAAAGGATTCACTGGAAGATGTCTTGCTAATTACCTTTGTCAGGAAATGCTGCTTAGTTAGCTAGCTGGCCAGGTGAAACGTGTGTACATCCTTAGTACATAACACATCTTTATCACTCCATACTTACGGTACCACGATATACGTTCTTCACATATCGTTTACTACCATTCATACTATCTTACTCTCGTGACCATACTTTCTCAATACCCCAACAACTTTGTACTGTTATAGTATGTCACGTGATATAAGTTATTCTAGCACTACAGAAAGATTAATCTGGTTAGGAGTAGTGAATCATTACCTTACGGGCTTTTTTTATACTGTGGAGTTTGACTGAACTTGGTTCCAGGTGAATACTACAATCCCAAGTTCGTAGAGAACAATGCGAACAGGTGCTCAGCCTCCTCTCTGGCAGTAGTTCACGGACAGGATTTGTTCGGCAGCACGATCCGCAAGACGCTTCTCTCATATGCAGTATTTCTTAGGATCTAGAAAGCTTAGCTATACTTGGGTGGCTCGGCATATATTTTAATTATAAGATTTATCAAAACATATAAGGAGGAGCGCACTGAGGTTGATAGAAGGCGGAGCGCAATATCGAGGTCATCTGTTGGAATGCAAAGACCATGGGAGAAACACGTGGATGGGAGGGATAGTGCCAGTTCTGCTACTTGAAGCACTGCGAAAGCTTCGCAAGAGACGTTTTCCTGGGTGTGCATCCACGGATGAAAGTTGACTTGAGGTGAAGAAAAAGCCGCCATAACTTCGTAATATTACTTGCAAATGAGATCCGAGGCATAAGTGCTCTTGTTGTATAGAGCCATCTTTTCTGTACACTTTCTCCGATAGGGTGTCATAGCTAGATAGTTGCATACACAATTTTAATCTGATACAGAAAAATATAATTCGTATGTCGGCTAGATAATTTTGAAGTTAAATACTAGATGATAGGATACAGGGTGTTGGCAAATATTGATCTGGTCTACTGTGCTGTACAACGATTCTTAGGTCTGAATCTCATTAGTAGGTAAAATATTCGAAACTGTAGGCGAACTTTCATAAAGCGCTAAAGTAGTCAAGCATGCCATTTTTGTTCATATCAAGTCGCCAGACTGATGAATATGCAAGTGGATCATAATGCGGTCGACGTTATTAACTTGTCGATGATTGAAGTGTATAGTTTTTGACATTTGAGATGTGCTAAACATATCTGTTTTTTCCTGTGGAAAGTTTCAACGCCGAGTTTTGGAACGAAATGATGCATAATTACGGTGCCTCAACATCAATATATGACGTCGTTAACCCCTGGTATGCGAGGTTGTTTTCAGCAGTTTTCGAATGGCTGTGTCTAGACAGGTTTAAAGAGACATGGGATGGAAAGTTGTGAGCGCTCACAATCATGCATACGACCATGAGTCTGAAAAGTTGCAGGAGTTAGTATCGTTTCGTATCAGGCTTAGAACGTGCATGAGCCAATTAAAAGGTCTGATTGATAAAAGGGAGACTTTTGGTGCAATTGATCTGTCTAATCAGGACACAAGCTCAACATACTCGGTTAGGCTCGCATGATGAGCAGGATTGGCTGTCTCTTCGACTACAAAGTGGTCACTTGATTGATTCTGGCTGTCTCAATCAACAGGGAGAGCAATACGCATTTGGTTTGGTTCCTGGGCTGGCACTTGCAGTGTATGATTGAAAATTAATGGAATAAGAAAAGTAGACTGATGATAGTTGCGGCATACTTTCCGCCCCAGCCATAGTAATACCCGTTGCGAAGATGACGTTAATACCTCTGACTCTTTTTTCGGCCGGTCTTGATTTTTGTTGTAGCAGCAGGTTGACTTCGATCTTTGATAAAAAGAGATAGAAGAATAATGATCTATAGCTGTATGGAGATGGATCAGATGTTCATCATGGGTTGATGAGCATGCATCTTTGACCAAATATCTTATCACAAGCTTGGTGACAAAGGTATTGTGCGCCTCGCTATTCCTACCACATATGGACGAATCAGGTAACACTACGAGGTGTGGAGCAACCGATTCGTCGAATAGTCCGGTTAAGTCTATATCTAGTCTAGCGGCTCAATGTGGTCAATAGCCTTGGCAAGGATAGAGGCATAAATCAGTAAGCACTGATGCACCAAAGGTGAAAGATTCAAGGGCGCCAGACTAAATTTTCTACCTTAATTCCTCTTGCCATTTATAGCATCATCTTATGCTGCTGCTATGGCTTTGAGTATTGCTATGTCTATGACTACGGATACTATTGTTATTGCTAAAACTACTTTCATCGTCATTGTTCCCCAACAATTTAACCCTGTCCCCACCTTTTTAAAGAAGGCTCCTATTTTCTTGTCTCAAGCACACTGACACTACAGCAAATTATCCCATATTCATCCCGTCATCTAGCTCTCGCCCCTTGTCACATCTTCCGTCTTTTTGCGCTCGCCAATCCCCTGACCAAACCCCATTTACAACGCGCCGCCTCAGATTCTCCTCCCTCCCCTCCCCTCACCCACGCCGCCCCCTATCTGACATTTATTCATCCCACAGATCACCAGTAGAAAGGGGAGAGGGGGTTTCTAGATGCGTGACAAATCCCTCTTATCCGTTCCTTTGCAACACCACGACTAAAATAATCTTTTGCCACACTCAAATGCAAACAAGCAGACGGGCAAACAGATGCACGCACCCATCCACGCGCATACAACCTATTCCTCATAATAACGACACACCCCTACAAAAATATAACCTTTCATATTTGTTCCAGAAGATTAGTAATTCTGTGGCTCCTCTCACCTCATTTGTACCCAAGGTACCGTATTAACCTCACATCGGCTTGATTATCATCTGAGCCTCTCCTGAATTTGCTATTCTCGCGCTACCCAGTCCATTGTTTCTTATACGCCATTTTTCCCTCTTTCCTTTTACATGTCAATTTTTGCTGGCTAGGAGCGTGTTGTGTTCTCTTCCACATGCTCTCCTTGTTCAATGGTTGCTAGAACCATCTAGCGTACCATCTCTGTCCCTCAATCTTTCCACTTGTTGACCGAAAGGGTCCATAATGAGCTTCATCCTCTATCATACCTATTCGGTCGCCACTCTTACATCTTCGGACTTTTATTCAAGTCTATAGATATTGCATTACGGCTCAATTCTGTCAACCAATGTGTGAATAAGTATCATACAGCCGCATATGTTGAAGAAACAGACGGAAATCGACCAATAATTTTCTCGATACGCCATTATTCTTCAGTCAAACTGTCCTGGCACATGTAGACGGTCTCTTGTGCCCTGATCCAAAAACCTATTGCTACTTTCCCAAAGATGAGTTTTGGTGACAGACTGGAACTCTTCTACCAGAAGTCACAGATTCAGCACGACTCACGCTCTTCCCAGACGAACCTTTCTGCCCCTGACTCAGTTTCCAGATGGTCTGACTCCTCTTATTCAGCTTCGGTATGGTCTGATACCTCCTCCCAGTCCTCTGACGATTCTTCCATCTCCAGCGACCCACCTGACACTCGGCTATCTCCTCATGGGCCCATCAGAACCTACATTTACGGACATGGATCGCTAGCTCCAGTAGACGGGTCGATAAATCGGACCACAAGTGGAGGTGAAGGCAATAAACATAGACAATTAAAGGAGGAAAGCCGAACAGTGCATACGGATACTGGGAGTTATCCGACTCTGGTTTGTCGGCCTGACACCAAAATAAATTTTGTTGAAAGTCTTGTCGGTAAGATAGTTCACATCAGATTACACTTTCTGCACACTAACATCCACAAGACTCGTCCGCTCACATTGTTGAAGCCATCTGGCCATTATCTGCAGCCTCATACCGAATAGGTACGGGGCCCAAGGAGATACTTCCTTTGCGCACTTTTATACAGGAGACATTACGCCGTTCCAGAACAAGCTACTCGACCTTGCAAGTCACTCTCTACTATTTGATACTAATTAAACCTCATGTCCAGAATCACCATGCTGCCTTAGGACGCCTAGCTAACGACCAACCTTTCCGGGCTCTCCAGTGTGGTCGCCGGATGTTCCTATCGGCGTTGATACTAGCATCAAAGTATCTCCAAGACCGCAATTATTCTGCTCGAGCGTGGAGCAAAATCTCTGGTCTCAATATCCTCGAAATTAATAACAATGAAATCGACTTTCTCCTTGCCGTGAAATGGAAACTACACATACCAGATGCTACATTTCAGCGATGGACCGAAATAGTTTTGAATTACACCTCACTATCACGACCGTTTTCTGGCGATGTCAAATCGGCCTGTTCTAATACCTTGTATAAATGGAAGTCAATAATTACAAAACTTAGTCCTCAGTTAGATAATTTAGACGGTGTGATATTGGCGCTAACTCCCGCTCAGACATACCCATGTCTCACACGATCAGACTATAATAGTGCACTCGATAATGTAAAGAGAAATTCTAATCCCAATAACCCATGCCTTACACCGAGTGTCATGGAACCCTCAGCACTATCTACGTTCGTCAATAAGGCAGCACCAGTGTATAACGTAGCGTCTAACCAAACAAATTATATACAGAACCTACGAGATAGTGCCCATACGCCGTTGACAGGTGTCTCACCTTGCTTCCTCAAAAAACCATCCATGAATCAATTCTTGTCCAGTACAACTGAAACATCACTCCAAATGACCATCGATAAATTGAGTAACACGTCGGTGATACCTTCTGTTACAGACATTTCAACCCAGGGGTCTTCCTCTAAAAAATCGACACTCGTACAACCCGAAAACTCCTCAAATGAATCTTCGCAATTCAACCCTTCAAGGTTACTATCTTCATCTATTCCAAACCACATACTAAAATCAAACATGGAATGGCAAAATCTTCAAATTTCTCGAAACCAAGGAGGGGATAACGCAGATATGTCTGGAAACCTCTCTAAAAGGCATTATCTCGAGCCTATTCCACCGGCTGGATTAAATAGTGTAGATTTCCCCAGAAATATATCTGATTTGTGTCCAGAAAAGGTGTGGCATCAAAGAGACCATGTCCTTCCAGATTTCGGCTCATCACAACGATGCCTGCCCAGTCGGAGTAACCCACGACCTAATAATAGTAACAAATGTAAAACTGTGAATGAAGATATTTCAACAACATACTTAATGGGGCAGTCACAAAGGAAACGTGCGATAAACGATTTGGGATCAACTGTTGCTATAAACAGTAATTATAATTGCCAGGATACAACTGAAAAAAATTTAACATCGTGCGCTTCAGTAGCTCGGAAACGAGTATGTTGCTCTGTCGAAGCATCTCGCAGCGTACTTTACAACAACCATTATTCGTGCCATGGTCGGCTAGGTGTACCTAGTATATGGGAAAGACTATTAAACTGAGTTTTATGTTAATTGCTTCCCCAACTTATTTCATCGGTAAAGTACCATGTTGTAGTTGGATCTACTTCATCAACTGGCTATTGCAGTGCCGAATCTGAGGCGACGTCCGCATTTAAGAGCCCCAAGTGCTTTATTATAGGCTGTTGCCATGATTTCTATAACAGAAAACGTAGTTATCTTTTTGACACGCAACAACTTCGTAAATCACAGCGCCAATATCTTTCGTGTATACGACGGTGATGGAAAGCGACGCACTCAAACCAACAGGTATAATGTAAGGGTCTCTTCATTTTGACAAGGCCGAATGTATAACACGCATGATTTGTGTGAGCATTTCACATTGCCTTTTCCCAGGTCAATTATAGCTGTAACATCAGGGTTAAAGTTAGAAGAAAATACTTCAGGTAGATGGAACATGTTTTATACTTTCCTATCCTGATAGTAAGGAAAGAGGTCGACACAATTATTTGTTGCAGTATGGGTACTCGTACGTGCCGACTTTAATGTGAGGCTTGATCTAAAAAAAGGAAAATTTGCTGAAGAGTATATTAGGTGATGCTGAGTGTCAGCCACTATTTTTCGGGATGATGAAAATAATATCGCAGTCTGAGAGATTGAATTTAGCTTTTGACTTGAACCAAAAAGTTTTGACAATTACTAACCCTTGTCGTGCCTAGCCTTACCCTTCAACTTCTGACTTGAAGTACGCTGGGTCTTCACCACATGTACTAGCTATATGACTAAATACTTACTTGATGATGAGAAGATGTATAGTCTGCTTAAAGTTATACCATCTAAAAAAGATGTAATAGAACCCCCGCTACTACCTTGTATAATATAGTCCATGAGCTTGGAATAAATCTGTAGGCCTGCAGACGGTCTAAATTGCTCTTGCTACTATATTGCCGACACAGTTTTAGCGAGCCGCGAGAATTGCTCGGCGAAGGCGGATAATACGCGAGACGTTGAGCTGTTGATAATCTGTTGGCATATGAGGTCCACTTGTAATACATAAAATTTTCATGCGACGGTCATAACACAGTCCTGTAAGAAGCTTCGGCGTAATTAGAAAGTACTGGCTCGTGTGCTCCTTGCAAGCGATTTCGACCATGCGTTCGTGGACAAGTCGTTCATTGCGTGGGTCCATGCCCTGATTAATCTCATCCACAACACGAAAAGGGGATGTTGCAAGTGACTGTAGCGCCATAAGGTAAAAGATTGTCGATACAGATCTCTCACCTCCTGATTGCCGATGTTGATCCAGGACCTGCAGTGTTTCATTTTCTCTATGCACCATATTAGCTCGCGGAACCTCATTATTAAGGTCTGGAAATGCACCGAAACTTAACCTTGATCTGAATGGCCCAGTCCTCAAAATCATCTTTCTTTTCGATGCTAACCTCTCCCGCACAGCCAATTTGTTCAAAGTTATAGGAGAACGCGTCATTGATTGTGCTGATTAGGTTATCCAGTACCGGCTCCCATTCCCCTCTGATTTTGCAAATTTTCTGTTGTGTTCTTTGTAGCCTTTGAGCTATTTCGTCGACTTGAATCCTTAGTTCCTGGACCTTAGCTTCACGCGTCGCGAACTGCTCAATGGCGTTTGGGTTATCAGCAGCAAGGTACTCTAATTTGGATTCCTCTGCAGCGATCTCCATCTCCAATGCTTCTACAGTAGTGTCGTCGGGCTGCTGAGCGAGCTGTTCTGTATGGGCTTCGTTCTCAGGATCAGCCAGAATAGCCTTACAAATCTTTAAGGCCTTAGAGGCAACGGCCTTAATCCTCTTAGCCTCTTCATCAATTTCTCTTACTCTCTCTCGTTCCTCATCTCGCTGTTGAACTATGCTGCTGTTAAGTGCGGTGAGACTTTCAACGTCCGATTCGGCCTCTATGAATCTGATCTGTGCTTCGAGTAGGTTCTCGTGGGCTTTGCGAACACCCGAAAGGTGTTCTGCGAATCTCAGTGCATTCTCAGCTTTTCGAACAGCAGCCTGATCATGCTGGTCGTGAAGCTTTTGCACAGTCTCGCGATTTTCTAGTAATTTGTCCTGTGCCCTACGAAGGTTCGCTTCTTCCTGTTCTAGAAATTCTGAATAACTGTGTTCAAATTGGGGCTGAAAGAAACCTACTAATTCTCTCTGGTAAGGCTTTCAACTCCTTATCTGCTTCCTGTAGCTTGGCCTTCTCTTGAAGTATTTGTTTCTGTGAACCTTCAGCTTAGTATAATTTCAAGAATATGCCTACATAGGAGACTTACAATCTCATCCTGAATAACTGAATCCTGGCTTCTTAGTTCGATTATTTTTGTTTTGAGTGGGTCATTCTGCCGCTTAAGGGCTTGGAATTCACTTTCGATGGTTTCAATCCTAGCTTGAATTTCTGCCCGAGCCGACGCATCGACAGGTTGATCCGTCCAAAATCGCTCGTTAGGCACTGGTCGCGTGATGGTAGAAATAGCACCAGGGCCGTATTCTTTCCTCCTTGTAACATTGAATCTTTGCGATTGTGTGACCCATACGTTTAGCCTTTCTTCTCGTACGATTGTTTGATAAGTTTCTTCGCTGATATCATCATGTGCAATAGCTGAACGGTCTAACCGTGCACTGTCGCAAAGCATGGAGAGGACGGGTCCGGGTCCATCTATCTGATCAATGGCCCATCCAATCATACCATATCGTTGCATCTCTTTATCAGATAGTGGGCGATTGTTCGGGACGGTGGGGTGATCTACTTGCTTGATTGTGATATCTGTTAGTCGCATAGTCCCATTTAGCTGGTCGCTGAGCTTCTTGAAATCAGCTTTTGTTTGGGCAGATATGGTGAACATGTCATTACGTCCGATCAAAGATTCTACTTGACGCGTGTAGCGTGAATTTTTCATTGAGCATGTTATGAGGGGGGGAGCAAATACTTCCATCTCAAAATCTGCTTGGTGCTCCTGGATCCATTTCCAGGCTTTTGCGGTATCTTTGGATTGCTGTTCAAGCTTGTTCATCAGTTGGCCTTCATGGGAATCGAATTGATGAAGTTCTTCGTGAGACGCATCTAGAATTTGTTTGGTACTCCTTCCACGAGCATGAAGCTCCTCTAAGGAGACCTTGACGTCACTGAGTTGAGTCTTTAATTCTCGAGATTCTTGCTCCTTAGCTCGCTATTCAGAATTAGCTTGAGATAGTCGACCTTTTATCAAGCTCAACTTACTGCTCTTTGGTTCCATTCAGAAGCATTAAATACCGGCGTTCTATTTTCGCAGAGATTTTGCCAGTTAGTTATATTTTTTTGGCATTTTCCGATTCGTAATTTGGTCTCTTTTTCCTGGTCGGCGACTGAGGTGAGATTCAAATCGATAAGGCCAATTTCCTCCGTTAATGTTTCATTCGAAGATCTAAAAGACTGACCTTGACGTTCTATCAATTGCAGAATAGCTCTGCGCTCGCGAACTGCTGTCTCAATCTTGGTAGAGTAGCTTTTCTTGTCATCGATAAGGTGCAAAGTGGGAGCTATGCGCGCTTCGAGTTCTTCATAGACTTTGTGAGCTGCTAATTTTCGTGCTTTCGCAGCATTATGGTCAGTTATGGCCATCTTATACTCTACAAAAGGTACCTGCTTTTGAAGAAGGGCGATTTTTTCTTGAATTTTTATTCTTTCCTGAAGTTTTTGTACCTGAGCACGGAGATTTTGTTGCCGAGTCTCGTGAGTCTTGAGCTCTTGTTTCACAGCTTCATCCCGACCTTCTAAGCTCTTTTCTATAGTTCGGAGCTTTTTTAATTCTTCGTGTTTTTCTAGAACATCGGGAGGGGCTGCAGCTCTTTGAGTTTGTAGTAGAAGTTCAGACGGGGAGAGCGCCGAAAATTCGGCCACCTTTTCCTGAGGAAGAAATTGACATAGATTGTCTATTTGAATTGAGAGTTTCTCTACCAATAATTTTACGGCCTTGAGATTTGAGCGCTGCCCATTTAGCCACCATTCACGTGAGTTGTCTTCTCGTAAGATACGAGAACGAATAATGTAATTTTCCTCTCCTGAATCTCCCTGTAATTCAATCTCAATGATAGAATCAGACATACTGTGCTTCACAAATTCACCGACCTGTGTCGCCCGACCTAGCTGTGTTGGACTCGAACCTAATCCTAGACATATCGCACAAACTAGAGAGCTTTTTCCGGTACCGTTTGGTCCAATAACCATATTCAAGTTCGGTCCAGGGAAAAATTCAGCTTCCTCATAAGTAACAAAGTTGACCACTTTAACCCTGACAATAGCACCATGTTGGAATTGGCTAGACTGTATCCCCGAATCTTCATTTATTGCATAGCTAGTATGATTTTCACTAAATTTGGTATTCTGGTATGTTCCACCTGGTGTGTCATTCGCTCGTGATGTAGAAAGGCGATTGGTCTTCAGTTTTAGACGCTTATTGTGTGTCGTTAAAGGTTGTGAGATTTCTGGCAGGTTCTGATTTAAGGAATCTGAATCATTATCACGTTCATTCGGTGACCTCTGGCGTTTTCTCCTGGACTTTGAAAGCATTGCTGTGGTGGTTTATCCACCATCTGACTGTTCGTCATCGGATGTCACGACAATGAACGCGTTCCTGCAAGGGCGTATCACTGTATCACGTGATAAATAATTATAACCGAGCTTGCTGTGACCCACATCGGCAATATGTGAGCCTGGGGAAGATATATTTGCTTCTTGGCTCCTCCTGTGATGGTAAGCGTCTTTCATCTATTTTGGAGAAGACTAAGTTCCTTTCGGAAATTTGCCCGATCCGTATCAATTGACTCATGCCCATGTGAGAGTCTTGCTGTACAGCGCTCATAGCACCTTAACAAACTCAAAATTCAAAGCCTGAAGGCTTTGAATGAGTGTCATTTAGATTAGTACACAGTTGCCACTGGTGCCCGGTAGACACACAAGTAGATAAATAAATCGGCAAAATGTAGTCTGTACGCAATACATTCACAATGGACTGTTTACAACACCTGTCAAGGCAAGCTATTCCACCTACTCATGTAAACTAAGCTAGACAGGTCACACGATCTGGCTATCAGTACATAGACTTCATCTGTAGCAGTAGGGCTATCTAGTCAACATTTACAACGTAATACCGTGTTCCACGTATCTTTCTTGAGAACACCGATAAAATGCCTAAATTGTGCCGGCCCTTTCGCGCAAATGGGGGTTTTGTTCGGCCAGATAAGGAGAGAATGCGGCTGATACGCCAGGAGGCACATAAAGCCTGGCTTTCGTTAAATTATCTCCCACTATCTATTGACCCTCTTATTGATAGTACATCCTCACAATTCTGTAGTTCTTTTTCACCAGCTCCTGTACTGTCTGTGTGCTCAGCATTTAGGTTCTATCGTCTGGATACCCTTGATGAATCAGTATGAGGGACTGAACCTCGTATAGGAGAAAGCAGAAAATTACAGTCCTCTGCTTCTTACAATCAACATTGGTAGGCCTAGCGCTGCTCACGACGGTGCCCTCGCCCATGAGAAAAAATCAGGCTAACGAAGATTTTTACGACGGGTTCGATGAGCCAACTAAATCGTTTTCTAGTGGATCGATCTTGAAATGAAACTGCTTTTGCCTGGGAAAATGTGGTTTATATTCGTATTCAGTGGTAATTTTTTAAATTTCTTTATAAATCATGCTTTTTGTGGGATAGTTTCATGCAACTTGTAAAAATATGTATAAGTGAGTGAGTGTTTATTGTCCTGTTGAGTCTATAACTATGTAAGGACATGTAGGTCCTTTCTGCCTACAGGCCGGGAGTATCTATGCCTCGGGTAGTGTACTTCCTCCTATGGCTCCTTCACGACTTCTGTCCAGCAGTAATACCCCCACAGGTCTTCATTCGAGTACACACGAAGAGGAGCCGTTATCCCGTCGTTATCTCCCGTCTCCCGTCTCTAGTCAACAAAACAATGGCTGTTTGTGGGTGTGTAGATGCAAGGAAATGCCTCGTAAACCACTGGGTGGAAGACTCTCCTATGACGAAGAGGCCGGCCAGCCGGGCGTAGCAGACCTGTCTATACCTAAGAGCGTCTCTCAACCTTCCTAGCCTCCTCCTTACTCCTCCCATGATTCATGCCGCAGGACAAATCGCAGGTCGTGAAAGGATGTCAGAAAAGTCTTGGTCGAGAGTGACAGTCGTGAAGGAGCCTAGCCTAGCATCCAAAAGTCGTTACGGACGTGGGGTCGTCGAGTAACTCATATATTTCAGATGCCCTCCTGGCTAGTAGATTCGGAAGTTAAGATGAGTAGGGACGATATTTTTGACGAGTCGAAATCTGCTTTTCTTGAGGGCGGAAGGGTCTTTTACTTTGCTTTCGTGGGATTTTTGTTCGCCCGCCGGTGGGTAGCACATGTTGTGATATAACGAGGGCTTCTCTGACTACCGTTGTAGCGTTTGGTACCGCATTATCTCTCCTCATTCCCAGCATCATTATCGTCGTCTTTGTCGTCTTATGTGTTATCGGAAGCGTATCTTTGACGGAGGGAGAGATAACTCAGCTCAAAGTTGACAAGGTGTTACTCAATCTCGGCTCTGCAGACTCTACAGTGAGAGCTGGATGTTCGTAGGGGACACTACTGACAGGTGTTGAGAATAGTCCCCCTAAAAAATATGTGTAAATTTCTAGGTAGAAGGAAATTTGCTACACTTGAATTCGAAACCAGAGTGACTGACACCTTTTTTTTTTTTTAGGTCCTAAGCTATGCTCAATATCTCTTAAGAATTAAGGACCGGTGCACACGGCCAAGATCATGCTTCCCACATGACCGACTCGGTCTCACCGCGTGAACCACTACACAACAAGTGGCTAGTTATAAGAAAGAAAATAAATGCTCCAATAAACTCCCATAACCAAAATTCCAAGCCCAACACTACTATTTGAGGTCGGAAATCTGACATTTCTCGTCTCATTTTCCTGCCCGTCATGCTTTGTGTCATGATATAATTACTACCGTCTAGGCTGAGAGCAGGAGACGGGCACGCAGGTGGGTGACCGAAGCAGCTGGTTTCCTGCGCAAATTTTGTAAAGTTTTCGAGGCACTTAGGCCCGAGAAGCTTATGGGTAAAGTCGTGGTGTGATATTTTCCCTCGAAGTCGAAGCGTCTGGCGTACGTGCAGTCGACAATAAATGAAATGGAGAGGTGATGTTTCTTCTCCAGTGGCTGACAACTTGCTTGCTTGTTTATTTGGTCCTAAGCTAAAGCTCTTTATCCACATTGGGTCAAGGACCGGCGGATCCGGCAAGGTTCCCTGTAACTTTTCCTACAGCCTAAACTCGTTCCAACCTCGTGAATCACTACAAAAAGTGCAGCTGATTAAACAGAAACGAAAATTCAAGAAAATCATAACAACTCCGAAAAAAACAGAAGATTCCTCCACATTGGACTATAGCAATATGCTCCTCACACATTCTGTCGTCCGTCACACCTTCCAGATGACAAATTTGCTCCTTCTCTGCTGAAAGCGAAAGATGGGTTAGCAGGCACCTTTTATCCAGCCGATATCCTACTAATTGTTAGTAGATGCCCCAGAAGGGGACATCATCAAGGTTGCAGTGTCCTCATACTTCTTCTTCAGATCCCAGCACTCCGAATCCTGTTGCCCCGGCCATTGCGACATCCTTCGCTGCGGCGACAATCGTCTCTTCGGCCTTTTTGGCTGCGGCCCTAGCTCGAGCCGCCTCTGTGAACTTCCATTGCTCGAGGTGGCGAATCCGCGCGAGCTGCTCTTTGGTCATGGGTCAGGAATTTCTGGGTCTGACTAGGCAGGCCCGAGAATCCGATCGGTGGGGTCCCCCACAGTTGCAACACTTGGTGAGGGCCTTGCACTTGGCTTCCGAGTGCATATTAGAGCCGCAGCTCCAGCAGGCTGGAGCGCGGGAGCAGCCACGAGTGGCGTGGAAGCCCAAACAGCGTTTGCACTGCTCAATTTGTCGACGAGGCTTGTGGATGGTAACCATGCTAGACTCGTCGAAGAGGCGGAATTCCGGGGAAAAAAGGCATTCCAATTTCTGTACGGCGCCCCAGGACGGTATATCCCGTGCGGTCGTGCCTGAATTGGATACTTCTGAGTTTTTCGGTAGATCTTAAATGAGACCCTATCTGCATTGACCGTAACGTTACTGTCGAGATTTTTGATGATCGCCGGAACATTTGGGATCCGAAGGGCGACAAGGTTGGAGGCTACCTCAAACCTGGCGTTGAAGTCCGACAGCTTAGGTGAGGCGTCCAGGAGCTTTATTTTGGCAGGCCGTTGTGACCCACTTGGCTTCTTCATCAGTGACGCTCGAGACCCATGGCAGGTTTCTGAGCCCAGGCTCGAGGTTCTCAGCTTCAACGTCAATTTGACTGGTGAACCGACCGAGAATTAGGTCACGCAGCAGAAGTGGACGCTTTCCTGGGTCCGAAACAAAACCATCCGGAGTTTGGAGTGGTGGGCAAGTCTCATATGGAATCATGGGCCGACACGACCCAGATTTGCTATGACGAGCCCACTCGGAATATCAAGGATATGGTGTAGTAGAACAGATAATGAGGTTAGCGCATTGGGAGTTGGGACACCTTAAGTAGCCTCCCCTCGGTGGACAGTTCCGAGATGTATGTAGAGAATAGACAGTAATCGGTCACCATTCCTTTACTATATTGTTTTGTTGATCGCCCATCACACGTCGTGAGCAGAGGCACGTCTACCAACGTTGATCTGGAAGAAGCAGAGGCCTGGGATTTTCTGCTTTCTTCGGTTCCTGTTTCGGTCCCTCATAGTGACTCCTCAAGGGAAATCAGGGGAGCAAACCTAGATGCTGAGCCTCTTGTTAGAACAGGAGCCGGAATCGTGATGCACGAGGTATTATAGTTATACATTATGGGGTATAATTGTGATACCTGAGGTGACGTGCTGGCTACAGCACGTGTGTGGGTTCTAAGAGATGCGATGAGTAACTCACGTAATAAATGGAGAAAGATAATATAAGAGCAAGTGGATATATGAATGCAGGTGTGTGTAATAGTCCTGATGACAGGTGTGTGTGTGCGAACTATGTATCCTACTAACTATGTACTAGGGAAGAATAATGTATTTTGCACTACGGTGGTTGAGCCAGTCTCTCAGTGCTCTTTCCTTACAATGTTGAGCCCAACATTATCGTGCGTACCCTTGACTGTCCACAGTAAGATTAGTGTGTTTCCATATCATAACACGAGGGTTGTGTGGAAGGAGACCCAGCCGGGAGTTCAGAACCAGCCAGGACTTGTGTTCTTCCTGGCGCATTACCCACATTCTCACCTTTTCTGGGCGAACAAATACTCCGTAAGCTCGGAAGGGTCTTGCAGGGCATCCAGTGGAAGGGGCCACATGTATTGTGATAACGAGGTTATGAGAAGTCTAAGAATTGTCACAATGGGTGTAACAGTCAACTTGGGTGGATGTAGGATAGCACTTTAAGTCTAATGTGAAGATGATAGATATATATTGTAGATCTGCTATATTGATGACTATTGAATATAAGAGT